TGAAAACTAGTGTCCATTGTAATAATCAGTGCTTTTTTTTGGGTACTTTTTAATTTTTTTTTCAAATTCTGTTATCCTTTGTGTTCTGTCATTACAGGATTTTTAGCCACGTTATACTTTTTTTCATGTATTTTCTTTTTTTATTTTCATAGCTACCCTGATAGGAAGTTCCTTTTAAAATTTTTTTTAAAAATTAAAAAAAATTTATTGAAATATAGGTGATTTACAACATAACGTTAGTTTCTGGTGTACAGTGTAGTGATTCAATTATACATACATATATATATTTTCATATTTCTTTTCATTATAGGTGATTGCAAGCTGTTGAATATAGTTCCCTGTGCTTTACAGCAGGACCTTCTTATTTATCTGTCAGCCACATTATACTTTATAAGGTGATCATAAATGTATATTCCATTTAAAACATACTCTGTAAGTGAAATAATTTTCCAGTAGAGGAACGTAATAAAACTTCATTGAGAAAAATATTGGATCATCTGTAAAACCAATGGAATTGGTTACAATCTCAGGAGTGATTTTTTCCTTTCTGTTGTCTTAGCAACGTTGCCCTAAATATACATTTCTGTGTTAGACATCCCTCACTGAAATGAACCAGAGACCCATTCTGAGACTTGTAATTGGAAAATTTGGTAGTGTCACCTGGAATACTCCCCTTTGAAATAATATGTATGGAAAGTGGTGAATCACAGCCTCCTAGACTTCAGTGATTCCCTGATGGTAAGTTGCTTTTCGGAAGCAAGTTGAGCCCTTAAAGTCCATGTGACCTCCTCTCTTTATTGTAGGTCGTGGGAGCCTGAGTGTTCCAGAACTTCCCTTGGTGTAACTGAAGGGCACTCTTCTGGGTTTATCATGTTTAAAAGAGGAGATTAGGTGTTACGGCCAGAAACCAGTGTTAGAAGTTCTGAATCATGTGTTACATAGTTAGCATTAGTGTTTGTACCTTACTCAGTGGTTTAGTTGTGATAATATCTGGGGCTTAATATCTGTAAGCCCCAGATATTACCTCAGTATTTCCCTGCCAAATAGTTAGCACCCGTGTAACAGTCTCAGCATGCTTTTGAGCCTCCAGCAACAACCACCACAGCAAAACCTCAGGGTTCAGAAAAGCCTTTTTATGGTTGTATTATTTCAGTGAATCTCATTATTTGATTAGATCAGCTCTCTCGATATACTATGTGGCTAAGAAATTAATAAGTGATTAGTTTTAAAGAATGTATGCTCTATTCTTCGTGCTCCTTACAATACAGTACCAGTTTTTTTAAAAAAATTAATTTGGAAAACAGCACAGGGAACTATATTCAATATCTTACAGTACCTATAATGGAAAAAAAAAGAAAATGAATACATGTATGTATATGTTTGACTGAAACAGTATGCTGTACACCAGAAATTGATGCATTGTAACTGACTATGCTTCAATTTAAAAAAAAGAAGACAAATATATTAACCGTTATATACCAAGAGGAGTTTCTGTAATACACACGATATGTTAAATGTAACGGGACAGAGTAAACTTGTTAGAGCTCATATTATTACATGGTGATTCAATGAATTCATAAAGTTTGAGAAGATAGCCACAGGGATGCCTTCGTCTCATGTTTTGTAAGTTGATATGGAAGCTGTCTCTTCTTGAACTATAAGGATTTTTAATTAGTAATACACTTGGATGTGTTTTCCTTGATGATTTAATGTTAGGGTCCCAGGTTATTAATTGGATGGTACTAATACGGACATTACCTAGGAAGTACTCCCCCCACCCCACCCCCACTCTGTTTTCTTTGCTGTTGGTTAGAAAAACGCTGCCAAAATGTGGCAGGAGTGCTAGACTTTGCTGCGGAGGTCCCCTTGTTTGCACTCACTGGTCCAAAGTCCACAGCCAGCAGGAGGGCCAGGTTCCCCAGCATCTGCCTGTGTTTGGTGTGTGCTCGGGCACTTCCATTTGAAAGATGGAGTTGGGGGGGTTAATTCTTGGGAGTATGAAAGCGACTCTGGGGGGAATCATAACACGTGGGTTCAAGCGAGGGCTCTCTTTCATTCTGAAGTTATTAGCTCAGGGCATCTTTGTGATGGAACCGCCTGCACAGGGCTGGCTTCCGCCTTGCTAATCGTCTGGAGCCCCATCCGCCTGCCCCTGGCAGGGGCGGTCTTTCTCTCACTTGTGTCGCTTGCCTGGTGAGTGCACACCCTCTGCCCGGCTGTCTACCCGTCACACTGCCTTGTGTCAGGTGCCCTCTCCAACGGACGAGCTCCAGGGAGCAAGGACCAGCTGCTCTTTCTGTCCAGCCTGATGGTCCCAGCATCCCATGGTGCTGGGCTCATCAAAGGACCGGGTAGATGCTGGGATGAGGGTGGGAGGAAGGGATGCTGGCACTAATAGACTGCTTCTCTTTCTTTGCTCTTGCCTCACATACTAATTAGTTATTGAGGTTCGTTCTAAACTCTTTAGGAAGAGCAAGGCTGAAAGACATTCACTACATCATCATTGCTTTAAGAGATGGAGTAACGTATTGTATCTATATAAGTAATTATGCCTTGTTATCCTGACTTGGATTGTCCTTTGGAAAGTATAATTAATTCGCATCATGGGCATGTGTTTTTTGAGTGCATCAAAGCATCATGGCACCTACTACGGGGTAGACTAGATGACTGAGGTGTAACTCATGCCCCGATAGGGCCAACGAGGGAATTAATGAATATTTTGTGGATAATAACGTTGGTTAACAATGATTGATATAATTGTTCTTGGCAGAGTAGCTATATGCAAAGTGCCTGCAGATTTTACATTGGGGCTCAGGCAGATTGAACAGTTTGAACAAAGTTCTGAGTATTTATATTCCAATGTAGCAAGCTTCTATCTTCTGGGTCAACTTCTCCAATTTTTAATACCCAGTGTTAAGTCAAGAATGAGATGAGACGTTTGGGGCACTGAGGAATTTGTTACAGGCAGTAGGTACCAAATGATCGGCTCTGTTTAGGTGCCTTTTGGTTCTTCCTGAGGATAAGAAGTGGAAAGGGTTTCCAGTGGGGACTTTGAAGAAGAAATACTTGTGAAATGCAAACGATGTGACGTGGTCCCTCCCCTGCCCTTTCATGTTGTCCTTTAAGGGGAGACAGCTCTGGTAACACGCCATCTCTGGGTAGCCTTGCAGAGAATCGAATTTGAACGAACCATGGGGTTGCTTTCCTCAAATTGATGTATCCACTTCCTTATCATGGAACCTTTATGGTTTCCTTCAAAACTTTCATTTTGAAATAATAACATTCTGATTTATGTCCTCATAGATATGTTTTGTGCACAGCCCTAATTATAGTTTTAGGATAAATGTTAGAAGTGGAGTTGCTGGGAAACGGGCATATATATTTTGTAGGCTTTTGATATTTATTGGCAAATTGTCCTAGAGCAGGGCTGTCCAATAGAGACTTCTGCGATGGTGGGGATGTTCTGTATCTGGACTGTTAGCTCGTGCGTACTTGAATTGTGACCAGTGTAACCAAGGAACTGAGTTGTTCAATGTTATTTTGTTTTAGTTAATTTTGGTTTAAAGTTAAGTAACCATGTATGTGACTAGTGGCTACGATTGACAGTGCAGATCTAGAAGACTGAAACCAAATTACACTTCCACTAGCAAAATATGAGTATCTGTTCCCTATGCCTTTGTCAATGTGAACCTTTTTTTCATTAAAATCTTGACAATTTGGCTGAAAAGCTTATTTGTATTATTTTATCATATTATTTGCTAGTGAGGTTGAATACCTGAGGGCGTTTGATTTTTTTTTCATTTTTAAAACTAATTTCACTAATTTCATTTCATAAATTTTTAAACGTTTTCATTGCCGCTGTTGCCCAGTTATACTTTAAGATGTTCATCTTTTCCTTTTTTATTTGTTTTTTTGGTATTAATATTAGTAACCTTTGTCTCATTTTACCAGTATTTTTCCCAGTTGACATAGTTAAGTGTTTTGGTTTATACTGAAATTATTGTAAATACTTTTAATAATTAAAATAGGCATTTTCAAAGAAACTTTTGTTCCATTTAAAGTAGTTTCTGGGGGCTCCGGGATGAAGAATGAGGGTGAAAGAGATGAAGAGAGAGAGCTGTTTGGCCCCAGGGAAGGGCTGGAGATGGGGGACTGTGGTGGGGAAGGAAGGAGGACCACTGAGGAGGGAGAGGGACCGTTCCCAGATGCAGAGAGAGCCAGGGAGGACACAGGACCACAGGAAGCCACCGCCTGGTAGCAGGAGGGCCGAGGGGGCGTGACTTCGAACGCATCTCTAGATGTTGCAGACTTTGAAATAGTAACATGATCAATTCTGGGACTGTTTCTCCTTAAATCATCAGCCTCCTCTCACCCTCTCTCTGCACCGCCTAGTAACCAGGACGGTGTCACTCTCTGTGGGCAAGGGTCTAGTTGGGGGCGTTTCGTTTTTACCGGACAGTTCAACACGGGGACTCTCGGGGAGAAGCAGCATGGTCAGTAATTAGCCCAGTGTCCCCTTCCAGCCAGGGGACCTGGATTCAGCCCTGCCTCTTATTGCAACTTTAAGCGTCTTGCTGGATGATCGTGGCTAAGTCTTTCCACCTTTCGAGGTGTCTTGGGTTCCTCTCCTGTGGGATGGCAGTGACCCTGCCTCCCTCTCTCTCTTGTGGTTGTGAAGATGGGATGGCATGTAGTCAGGTGCTTCAGGAAGTTCACTGACGCTAAGTTCAAGGACACTTCCGGTGGTGGTGGCAGTGGGAGAGGGACGCTCTGCAGCCGACCGTGCAGACGGCGGTCCCTCAGTGGAGCGACGCGGCCAAATGCCACCCTGGAAAGAGTCCGATCTTCCTTATGCGTGGCCTTAAGGCACAGAATTCAACAAGAGAATTCACGTGCGCTAAGCGGGACTTTGAAACACGGTATTTTTGTTTGTGTGCGTAGTCACGGTGAAAGTCTCCTCACACTTCCTTATTTTACATCTTTTTAAAATTTTTTTGCAGATGAACGGGACAAAGTTCAAAAGAAAACGTTTACAAAATGGATCAATCAGCATCTCATGAAGGTCAGTGCCTATTTCTTTTGCATCTGGGGATGGGTTTGCCTCCTGTAGAGGATCGTGCTGTTCCTGATTGGATAGCCCTGAAGCGCAGCTTCTCAGTATCAACTGGAGAGGTTAACTCCTAGCGTGTTTCACGTGCATTTCAGGCATCCATAGTTATCTGGCGTGTGGCCTGTGGGTAACGGTGCGGGGCCGGAGGATGGGTACGCGGTGATTGCAGGGCATTCTGCGACGTTAGTAAAACCTCTCATTATTGGACTCAAAAAAAAAAATCTCAGCAGTTTAAGGAATATATAAATATTGATTTGTTTGGTCACAGAAAAGCTGCAATTCTCAGTAAGAGTTTTTTTTTCCTCTGAAGAGTCCAACCAAGTTTTGGCATCAGATTTATGTGGGTAGCAGAGTTAGGTAGGAATAAGGTTGGATTATAGAGACAGAAGCCTGGACTCCGTTTATTTCCTGTACTTAGTACAACCCAAAAAGTGATGCTTCAGTCTTTGTTTCTCTGTGAAGCAATTAATTAATGGTTCTTAAATTAAGAGTCTTGTGTGCCACCAGTCACTGAGAAGCTGATGTAAGCTCTCCAAAAAAAACCACACGTGTACAAAATTTGCATACAATTTCATGGAATTACTGGATCCAACCGAAGGTGTTCTTTAAATCTCAACTAAAGAGCGCATGGAATTTCACAATTAGCTTTTTTTCCAAATATTCATTTTCTTTTTTTTTCATCAAAGGTTATTACAAGATATTGAGCATAGTTCTCTATGCTATACAGCAGAAACTTTTAAAAAAATCTATTTTTGTGTATTACAATGAACTCTTAGTCACTTTTTTCCCCCTTTTGTGGACAGTCCTAAAGTTGGAGAGAAGGTGCTGTGTTAAGTCTGTTGTTTGGGACTTGGAAAGCATTTTCTCCCGCAGAAACATTATTTTAATGTTATATTCTTAAGCGGTCCTCCAGATAGTCTTTAAACCAGCATGGAGCATAGAGGGATGGTGCTAATAATGTAATAGCACCTAACGACCTTCTCTAAAAGTGATGCTTCTTTCAGAAGGCATATCAGAATTGCCTGAGAGAAGTTTTAGTCCTCTCTCTCGTCACTGTCTGACAAAATCCTTTTCCCAGATTCTGATATGTCCTTCAGGGAGCTCATGCCATCCCCACGCCATCTGAGACTCACTTCCGTAAGGAGCTTCTGTTACTTCTGGGGGTTGAATCTCCTGGGGTGTTGGCAGGAGATGAAAGATGGAGACTGTCTGCCTTACGAGGCTCTTAGGAGGAAGCATATGGTGAATTCTAATGAAGGCAGAAGACCAGCAGTGTCCCCCTCTCCCCCAGGCTTTGGTCTTACTCTGCGTGTTCCACGTATATCATGGGAGAGGGACTCTTCCACGGGCTGGAGCAGAGACGCGCTGATGTGAGGGTGGGGGTGCGGGGCGCTGGCGCTGACTCCCCTGGGAGCTGGCACAAGACAGGTGTTTCCTGAGGACCTGCTGTGACCCAGGCGTGCCGGGCTGGACCGCTCGTCCTAGGAGTGGCCTGTCATTGGGGTGAATGAGCATTAGGAGGCTGCGTTTAGCTAAAAATTCAAAACACTGGTTGAGCTGTTTGAGGACAGAGGCTGCCTTGTTCACCCCTAGGGTGCATCCTGGTGCCTGGCAGGGGTGTTCTCACCGTGTGTAACTGGCATTACGCACGTGAACTCACTTCCGACAGCCCTCCGAGGTGGTAGAGCTCAGTGGTTACACACACACAGCCCACAGAGTCAGACGGCAAGGCTTCAAATCTCGATTTACCTGGAATATGTGACCTCTTTCTTTGATCAGAAGACAAATCTCAAAGATTTAAGGCTTCCTTTCGCTGCAACATAGTATGAATTAGGAAAGTAAGTACGTTATGCACAGGTCATTAGTTAGATGCCAGTCCACTTGGTTAGGGTTTTAATCAAATTAACTTATTTGTTTCTTGAAGTAGGTCAGAAGTTAAAATTTACTCCCACTAAACGAGGAGCTGCTTTAGAGAGGGGGACAGCCGGACGGACCATCTTGGCTGCCTCACTGTCGCTCCGGAACCTCTTGTTCCGTTTTGCTGTGGAATCAGCTCAAAGCAGCCTTGCCTTGTAATCCTTAGAGCTGTGCTCTCAAATTTCTGACACAAAACTCAAACATGGGAGAACATGGTTTTTAAACCTTCTATACTTTTATGGCTAGAAGTTACCGCGTTAACCTCAAGTGAAGAAAAATAATTACACATCCCAAAGCGTTCTGGGACACCAGGCTGTTTAGACTCGTGTTGTGAATTAATCAGAGGCAGTTCGGCCTTCGTGTGAGCCTCTCTGCGTTCCACCCAAGTGATGATAAGAGAAATTCTGGACACTTTCGCTGTAGGTGGCCATTTGGTCATCATCCGATCAGTAGGAACTATAAAATAAGTATATGCGTTTTAGATTAAAATCTTCATATTAGAAAGAGATACTCTGTATTGATTTTCTCATCTTTCACCTGAAATAGGGAACATATTCAGGGATAAACAGGGACAGGAAGGAAGCAGGTCCCATATCTTTCTTGCCTGACCGTGTCCCTTTTCCGTGAATGAAAAGTCTGTTATTTGAAGAGCCTTTAATAAAATGAGATCGTGTTGTATGAATGTTCAGGGAAAGGGTGACCGTGAGAAGTGAGTCAACAGAATGAAAGAGTGATGGCTGCGGAAGGAGAGGAAAAAAGTGGGACTGAAATCACTGAGATAACATTTGGGTCATTCTGTGCATATTTGGTCTGTTTTGTCAGTTTAACTGTAGTCCTTCCCCTTAAACCATAGGGAAGAGGGGCTGGAGGAGGAAAGAGAGAAGAAAGGGGGAGCTCAAAGCAGGAAAGGGCGAGGGATGTCTGCCCCGTGTCCTGGGCCACCCCCCACAACCCTGGAGTTCTGTGTGTTGGGACCAAATTCTGGAGACTCTGCCCTTGGCTTAGCTCCCTGGGAGGGCTGACTCAGGTGAGGGTGTGCTTCCTTCACTTCACGGAAGGAGAAACTTGCCGCAGCTCCCCCTGTCCAGCTGAGTAGTATTCCCTTGTATAAATATACCACAACTTCTTTATCCAGTCATCTGTCAGGGAACATTTAGGTTGCTTCCATGTCTTGGCTGTTGTAAATAGTGCTGCTCTGAACATTGGGGTGCATGTATCTTTTTGAATTAGAGTTCACTGTGGATATATGTCCAGGAGTAGGATTTCTGGATCATATGGTAAGTCTATTTTTAGTTTTTTGAGGAATCTCCGTACTGTTTTCCATAGTGGCTGCAGCAAACTGCATTCCCAGCAGCAGTGTAGGAGGGTTCCCTTTGCTACACACCCTCTC